TTCTTGCTACTGGTTGTTCTATTTTACTGCACATTCTTGTAGGATAGAAGTTGTCACTTTACTTTATGTAGCTCCTTACGGTATCTAGCCTGGGTGAGAGGCCTTGTTGATTGACAAAGTGGGTTTCCAGTACCATATTTGTGATCGTAAAGTTTATTGAGGCTTTAGTTGCAAGCATCCTAGTACTTGGATCTTTAAATTTTATATTTACATAAAGACTTTCAGGAGTGCATGTGTACGTATGCACGCCTCCACTCCCATGCACACATGTACACCTCCATCTCAACCTTACACATCTGGGCAGTATAGTTTCCTTTTTATGTATATCTGAGAATAGAACTAACCAAGCAATTCAATGGCCATACTGAGAGCAGTAAACCGTTCTGCAATTAGAAGCAGCTCTCCTTAAGTGCTATAACAGCACAGCCATAATTTATGGGAAATAATTAATGCCTAAGTGACATCTGTGACAGTGCTGTTCCTAACTTAGATGGGTGAAGCTCGTAAGAATGGAGAAATGTTTGAATGCAGCTGTGGGGGTGGATACAAAATCAACCTAAAATATAGTGAATTAGGGTAACTGACCTGTGTCCCATATCTTCAGGGATCTTTTGGATTGAAAGTACAGTCAATTGTGAAATCAAGCAGTGGCCCTTTGCTTATAATACATTAGTTTCTCCAACCATTACCAGGTCTATGGAAGTGGCACCTACATACATTTGTTAAAACCACATTCTACATACAGTAAAATAAAAAAGTGATCATTAGAAAAAGAATTAGAAGAGAACAGAGGTAAACATTTATTGATTTGGGGTTAAGAAAATATTTGGGGTTAAGAAAAAATTTCTATATGTAATGGCTCAGGAAAGAAGCAATAAAAGAAATGCACTTTAACAATCGAAAAATTTAAAATGTCTGAATGCTAAAATATAAAACAAGGCAAACAAAAGCGGAAAAATGTTTGCTAAATATTGTCTTCAAAAAATAAAGAATACTTAGAAGTAAATATAAAAATATAACAGAGAAACAGACAATAGACTATATAATCAAAACTCCTTTAAGTATTAAGTTTTTTTTTTTTTTTAAGTATTAAGTTTTATTAGAAAAAAGTGATTTTCTAAGTCACTTGTCTCAGGAGAACTTATAGAGTTCATAAAGGCAATATGGGTAGCAAGATAGGAGGGTCAGAAAAAGACTGTAATGTATTTGCTTTCTTATGGCCACAAGATTGCACTGAGCTAAGAATATAGTTGGAGTTTGAATAAATGCAGCAGAGAGCTGGGACTGAGAAGTGCCTAGCTCCATCTGAGAACAGGAAGGCTAGGTCTCCATGTCCTGAGGGCCCCATTAACATGGGTCTGAGCTTAGGATTTCTAAGGATGAGCAGCACTACAGCTCTAGATGACCCTCTGAAAGGTCCCCCTTTCTCATATTGTGATATTAGAATTCAAAAGGGCTATGTTAATAAAGTGAATAATAACCAGAGGCAGCTTTTAGACTTTGAGGGGAAAAAATATCTGAAAAGGGTTTTGGAAGAGTTTTGTGGTGTACAAAGGATGCTTTGTAAGAAAATTGTTTGGACTGCAAAGAAAAGAGATTGGTCTAAGTCTGTGTTTAGCAACTTCTTGGCTATTTCAGCCCTGTTAAAACTCCTGCTGATTGTTGTATCAAATGCAAATTCCGCCCCCCCCCCCAAAAAAAAAAAAAAAAGAAACCTGTGGCTCTGTGTGGACTCACTAGTTCTTCCTGAGTCTACTCTTCCAATAAAGAAACCCTCATGGAAAGAAAGTTCTCAGGAATAGATTACACAACAAAAACAACTGTCTCTACCTCCATTATCTCTAATCTGTATTTATATTGTTATAAAAAATTACTGAGAATTTCTGTGTAGATTTGCTTATGAAGTGTTTGATGAAGGAGTTTCAAGGTTGTGTGCACTTTTTGTTTCTGAATCTTTTGGTTCTTCTTCCCCTTGTGTGGAACTTAGTGGTTTTTCAATGCAAATGAACTCCTGGAAAATATGGTCACAAACAGTTTGCATTCCTCAGTTTTACCACTCTTGAAATTTGGGGAAGATGGTCCCTGCCATCTCCCTATATCCAAAACTTAAAATCTCAGGGAGACTCTGATTATTGAAGATCTACTCCTTCAGATTATTATGGTAGTGAGGGAATGGACCTCACCTAGATTAAGACTAGGTTAGTGTAGTTGGGGATAGTTAAAGGCAACTTGGGTGTCAGTCTCTTCAGACTCATGTGGGAAAGGAGGGGGCTGGTTTCTCCTTAGAAAGGGAGATACAGGGCAGACCAATAGGTAGCTGGCCTCCACAGAGGTATAGAAGAATATTATAATGTCACATTTACATGAAAACACATTAGCCTAACTGGTAATCTAAAAGATGTGAAATAAAGAAGGGAGAAAAATGAATTGAAAAATGATAGGCATGATAATACTAAATGACAAAGGAAATTAAGAATTATTATCTCCTTTATAGGGATTTTTTTAGAAATAATCATTTATAAAATAATGTTTAATATATAGGAAACTTTTAATTTTATGTGAAAGAAAGCAGGATATAGATGGCACATGCCCAATTTTAATTACTTATGAAAATAATATGTGTACATACATACATGCATGTATATATATTCACAGAGTTAATATATTTTGTTTCTTCATGGTGGGATTATGAGTGGTTTCAATTTTCTTCATGCTTTTATACATACTCCAATTATATTCAGTGAATGTTTATAATTGTTTGTTTTTTATTTTAATTTTGAGATTTTAAAAATATACTATACCACAGAGAATAATGTAACATATACTCATGTACTCATAACACAAATTAGCAATTATTGTTGTTATATTTGCTTTTTTTTAATAGAAAGAAATAGTACTTTTTATCCACTATCCTCAGCACTATTCCTTTTATTTCTCTACAGCTAACCACTGTGATTAACTGGATGTATAAACTGCCAATCCGTTCCTATACATTTGTATAATTTTTTGTGTGTTCATTTCATAATTAGAAAAACAGCATATCAATAAGCTGCTGGAACAAGGAAAGCCCTCAAATTTTAGTGGCTTACAAACAATAAAGGTTTATTTCCTGGCACTGTTACTGACTTCCATCATTGGTGCAAATATTTTTTTTCCTAATTTTTGTGTTTCTTTGGACCTTTGAAAGAGAATGCAGGGAGGTGGGTGTGAACCACATAGGCTCAAATGATTATACCATCAGCTAGTTATTTGAGCACACTGCTTTTTAAAAATAGAGTGATTTATTACCACATTCCAAGCTCCTTCACACAGCACCAATAAATCCATATTCATGTGCCAGGAACAGGTAAAAACCCTTCAATGAGCATTAACAACTGCACACCAAGTTGTTTAGATAGCTTTTGTTCGAGGTCTCTTTGCAACTGCTTCACTTGCATCTCAGTTTCCGATATTGTCTCTTGTTTGACTACTTGTTTTGGATGAGCTTATGGTTTAGCCTTAGAAATTATTGTCATTCACCATATTCCATATCCAGCCTCCAGCCAGCCTCATTCCCTTTGAGAAGGGTCACAGCAAATGCCCTGTTACTATTTGTTGAAAGCAATTGCTGGAAGGCACCCTGCTCTTTCTCCATGCCAACTGTACAAGACTGACTGGCCAGGCCTACTTCCCCCATGGCCTCCCAGTCAAGAGAGGAAGGGAATGGCAAAACTCAGTCCTGAGCTTGCTTTTAATCTTAAATCATATATTGCTATTTAAAATTATATGTGCAACACCCTATAATTTAACAAAGATCTCATTTTATATGGGAAAATAGCAGGCATGAAGGGAGCACAGTTCTCAGTACAGTGAAATTGGTGAACTCTTGCTTATCCTCTGGTTATAGTAAAATCAAAATAACTTCTATTCTTGTGAATCACTTGGTTTGATGTGTTTCAAGAGGTGAGCTCTATGCCCAGGTGTGGGTGGGGCTTGTCCGTATTTTCCTCGGAAGAGAATTTGCCATGTTTGGTTCAGGACATTCTACCCATCCTTCCAGAACACAGAAGCAACCATCTGTGCTGCTGAATCTGAAGTCCTCAGAGGACACCCCCACCCCCATACACATCTGCAAGTCCACCTCTAGAAGATGTGTTTCTAAGTCCTGCTGAATTTTGAGTATATTTTTCACTTCTTTCAGATCTGAATCATAAGCACAGTATTTCTGTTTAGCCGGCTACTATATTTCTCCTTTCCCACCTTACTCTCCTTTTTCTCATTCTATATTATTGCCAACCAAGACTACTTTCCTGCTCCAGTTCAACAAGTAAAATAATAGCGTTCCTGACTTTTCATCAAGGGAAAGGCATGCTGCAATGGAACACTTTGAACTCTAATTAAAAATTATTCAAGAGAGTAGTTTCTAAAATTCGTTTGAGAATATTTTTTAAACGTTATTTTATGCCATTTAGCATTTCAGCCTTAGGTTTGAGAACTGCCTCTCTCCAGCCCATGGTGGATGAATTTTCAGGGGAAAACAAGCTAATGAAGTCTATCTCGACTGTGAAAGTGACAGCGATCATGCATTCAGTTCTGCACAATACCGGGAAGGCACCGCCAAGCCCTGCAGCTGCATGCCCATGCAGTTTGTTTTTCTTAATTAGCAGCTTCTTTTGTATTCTCCACAGAACACATGGGACGCTCATGCACTTTTCTGTTTTCTTATTCTCTGAGTTGTGAGATTTACAGGTACATGCAAAGTTATTTTTACTGTGGCTCAGCTCTGGATAGATTAACACACATTTAAAAAGAGTGGTAGGAACAAAATGGATGCGTCTTGTAGGATCCATGTTTAGCTTCTGCCTTGTCCCACTTAGAAACCTCAATCAAAACCTTAGTAATAGGCTTTTGAGTATTTTGCACGCGAACATATGCCTGAGCCAAAAGAAAAAAAAAGTGCAAAAGAACCTGTGAAATATCCACAGATCCCAAACCCGGAATGAACCACACGAGACACTGGCTGCAAAAAGCAGGAGGCGTTTATTCTCACACAGGCGCCTGCGGGTGCACAGCAAAACCTCAGCCGGAGCTTCGGTGAACTGGCACACCGGGCTTTGGGGTATAGATCTTTTTATAGGGAACAGGTGGGTTAGGTCTTAGCTTAGCACAGCAACAGCCTTCCTATTGGTCCCTCTGAATTCAGCAGTTGAGTCACCTAGGGGGGTAAACTTGTTTTCCCACTTTAGTTCTCAGAAAAAACATAAAATTGCATCCTGTCCTTTTAGTTCCTGTTTTTACCCTGTTTGCTCAAGTTTGGCCCTTCTGGGGTTATCTATATGGAACATCTTGCAGCTTCAGGGCACAGGGGTTAGTTTTCCTAATGTTGGGCCTGGGGCCTTGGGGTCCTTCATTCCCCCCTTTTTTATATCATGGATATAATCTTATATCCATTGACCCATCTGCTCGGATTCCAGCATTATTTCAGCTGACGGCTCAGCATACTGGTTGGGGGTTGGTATTTACTATTAATCTAATTTTGAATAGGACCCCAGGGTCATAGGCAGTTTTATGATATACTCTCAGGCCCCATTGTTTTTTTTTTTTTTTTTTATCCAATTTTTTGATGCTTTGCCTGCCTGAGTAAAGGTAATGTTTAAGGGGTTGCAGGCAAATGCGGTACATGGCCCTGCCCCGTACCATTTTAGGCTCCTGCAAGAGTCGGCAGAAAGTGGGGGATCCTGTTTTGTTTTTTTTTTTTAAATTATATTTCTTGTCCCCGATAATACTTGTCATGTCTGGCTCACAGATTGGTTGGGGTTAACTGATATGGGGAAGACACAGCACAAAGCAAGAAAAATTAACAGCGAGTGAGTCTTATCTTTAGCGGATTTTGGGTACGTTGCAACTTCCATTCTGGATCCGGAGAGGTGTCTGCGGACTCCTGTGGATGTGCAGTCTTCACGTGGGAAGCATGGATCTAAGCAGCGATGCCGTCCACTTTGAGTGCAGTAGGAGTGGTCAGCAGGATAGTGTAGGGTCCTTTCCACCGCAGTTCGAGGTTCCTGCTCTGGTGCCTGCGTACCCAGACGGTATCTCCGACCTTGAAGGGATGTGGCAGCAAGGGGGTTTTAAGTTCCTCTTTGTATGCTGCGGCTAGAGGCTTCCAGACCTCGTTCTGGACCAATTGCAAAGCATGCAAATGAGTCTGCATAGATGGGGTGAGGGAGGCATAGGTTTTAGTTTTATAAAAGTTAATAGCGGGAGGTGGGGCACCATACAGGATTTTAAATGGGGTTAGTCCATGTGGGCCTGGGGTGTTTTGGGCCCCATACAAGGCTAAAGGTAGGAGTTGTACCCAGTCTCTAGTGCCAGTTTCAAGTGTCAATTTAGTTAAAGTCTCCTTAATGGTTTTATTTATCTTTTTTACCTGTCCTGAACTTTGGGGTCTATAACCATAATGTAATTTTTAATTAATTTTTAATGTATTGGCTACCGCCTGACTTACCTGGGAGACGAAGGCAGGCCCATTAAATGTTTCCTTTTTGGTCCTCATTATCAGGATCAAAGGGAGTAAACCTCCGATAAGTCTCTTTTAATTTTTCTAAGAAGGCTGTCGGAGTTTTCTCTGACCCCTGGATAGTCTGTCTTACCTGAGCCAAATTGGTGGGCCGTCGCCCTGCTCCATGGAGACCCCCCTGCTCCATGGAGACCCGCTATGAGTAACTGGCGATAGAGATGTAGGTGGTTCTCACCTGCTTCAGTCGCATAGTCCCAGTTTGGCCGGGTTAAAGGAAAAGCTTCGTTAATCAAATTTGTGAGTTGGGTGGGGCGCCCGTCGTCCCCTGGCACATTTTTGCGAGCTTCCAAAAGAGCCTTTTGTTTTTCCTCTGTGTCTAATAGAGAAATCTTTAATTCTGCTACTTAGGGCTGGATAACCATATTAGCAAACATCAAATCTACCTGTGTTGTCTAGAAATAAAAGCTTTAGACTAAAACTATTTTAGTAGTTCCTTTGACAGTTATCAGGCATTTCTGTCTAAGAATCTCTCTTGTAGCCTCCAGTCTATTTATTTATGGAAGTTACATTTAATTATTATTATCATTTAAGATGTCCAGGAACAGCTGTGCTTTGGCTTTGACTGTCTTTGCTAAGTGTTTAAGATGAAGCAAGTCAAACTGACTTTTGTTTCTACCTATTGTTTACAGTCAGCTGAGTTATCCTGGGAGTCCTCGGGAACTTCATAGCAGCTTTTCAGTTCTGCTAGTGCCATTTGCGCTAGGATGGGTCCAGGCCTTGTTTGACCATATGGCTTCCCTCAGAAGCATCAGGGATGTCTTCCTTTTTTAATGACCCTCCTCTTTACAGCAAATGCACCATTTGGCTTTCTGTCCTCCACTGGTCTCATTAATCTCCCTGCTCAGGAGGTTATGTGGCCTAGAGTTGCTGAGCCCTTTGGAGAAGTCCCCTATTCCCTGATTCAGACTGACTCAGAGGGCAAGAGCCAAATATTGGTTTTCTTGGCCCTTTTAATTTAACTAATTTTAAAAACTTGATCTTAAACATCCAGCAAATAAGTTAACAGCCTTATATTAAGAGCACTGGGCTTTAATGTCTATCTCTCTATCCTGTAGGTGATAACTCTTTATCTTATGTTGACCCAGGTTGTGTTCTTAAAGCAATACCTCTTTAGAATATTAATAGGCAATCCTTAAACCATCTATAAGCAAACTACAAAACAAAACTAACTAGGGTAAAAACATATTTAGCTTATATAATAGCTACCTTGAATTCTGGCAAGGTTATACATCATAATTTCCTGTTTGAGATCCTAGTAATCTTGGCAAAAACCTACTTTTGGACACAACTTTAACTGTACTGAAATCTGGCTTACCTTTTTTTATAGCCATTTTCACATGTAGTGAGATGGGACAGAGCCTTATCTCAAGTAAGGCAGGGCTCTTTATAAATCTCAAGTACTATAGTTCTGAAGCTGATCATTTTACAAAGTTTACATAAATTGTTGTTCAAGTTTACATGAACATTAGCTAACACAACATAATATCACACCTAAAATATGAATTAAAGGCTGAAAGCTTTTAACTTCTTGTAGAAAAGTAGTAATGTACTTTTGTGTTTTGCAATTAAACCTTTACACAGATTAGGCTCTTATTAACTTAAAAATACATAAATTGTATCTTAGAGTAGAAAGTAACATGGAACTGTACATATCTTATTGATAACAAGGTCAGTTATAGAACACAAATGATATAATCGAATTTTTAACATTTTTTTTTTTAAGCCTAAAATTATCATACAACTTTAGAACACCAGCTTGATATAATGTTCTTTTGAAGCTTTTACCTTACAGACTTGTATACCTGGAAGATATGAACACATTAATAACACCATAATTACATAAACCTTCTTTTGTTCACATTTTGAAACAATACTTGTAAACTTTTAAATTTAAGCAGAGTTAACATTTTATTAGGGCCTTTTTGAACACCTAGAGAAACTTATAAGCTTAATTTTGAGGACATCTTTACTTTTATCTGTTTACCCAATTTAAATTGAACTGTTTGAATCAAGTGAATTAAAGATATTTGGATCTATTTTTAATTTTTTTTTTTTTTTTTTAGGCTACCCAGTTCAAAATTGAAACTTTTAAAATTTTTTATCCCAAGTATTTAAGTTTTCTAGCATGAACTATCTGAAATCAAACTAAACAATTGTTTAAACCCAACTTTTAACTGCAAGATAGTGCAATGCTTTAGAAACCCATTCAGATACCAGATTGTTACAATAAAAATTATTATTATTTATTTTTTAGACACATATTTAACCTAGATTATCTCTAAGAAACAATTAGACAACCAGATAAGAAAATATCTCTCCAGGTTTTGAACTTTCATTTAATTATGACTCCCATCAGTGGCACCATAGATTTTCCTATGAGTGGACCAGATGTTTTCACGTAGGGGCAACTATAGGTGTAAAATCAAGGGTCTCAGTGTGACTGGCTTTACTGCATTCAGTGTCCCTTTTTTTTTAAGTAAACAGAGGTTAAGTAAACAGATCCTTAAGATGTAGATAAGGCCCCAGGGAACTTCCCAGAGCTAAATGGCTCTGGCAGCTGCTGGGAGTCCCTTAATCCTATCTTTCACCCACAGGATCAGTTCCTCTAGTTTAGGTATTTTTTTTTTTTTAACTTGTTAGTAGCCAGCTCCCAAAAAGTCCATCCTCTGCTTGCAGTTGTTTCGAGTGCTAGGCTTCCCCAAGAAAGCAGAGTGGGAACTCCTTAAAAGTCCCCTTGAGAGTGTCAAAATTTGTGACTGAAAATTTGGTTCCCATCTCTAAAGCCAATTAACATTAATTTAATAATGAGGACAGGGCTTTGAGAAAAGTCAAAGCGAGATGTCAAAGTTGTTAAATCCCCAGCAGGCATCTCTATTTGCACTCAAGCCGGTTATGGGGGGGGAAGAAAACATTGCTTCCCTAGTCTCAGTATTTAGCCTTAGATAGAATTTATCATCCGCCTTGGGCTGCATTTCCAAGCAGCCCGACTCCAGGAAGACCCGTTCGCTTCCTGGGGTGGAGGGGCCGGGAGGAACAGGGACGGGACAGATCCGCCATACCTCCGGGTGGAATCCTCCCGGCGGACTGCGTGGATCCCACCCATGCAGGAGGGGATTCGCAGAGGTCCTGAAAGGTTAAAAGCCATGATCTGGATGGCCATGCGGCCCCGGCTGAAAGACAATCTCTGACTTTGCAAATTAGAGAGAGGTTGTCTGCCCGATCTTGAACGTCTTGCCAATGATCTAGAGTTAGGCTCAAAGGGGTTGTTAGTGATTGTCCCATGTTATTCTCAGAGAGGAAATAGAGAGACAGACACAATGACACAAAAACGAAACCAAACAGTGAGATCGCTGCGCGGCTTCGGTGGAAACCGAACAAATCAGATGGCCTGGGAGAAGTTTGTACTTCTTTGTCGCCTACAAAAATGGTGTAACCCTCGGAAACACCGGGGGCCCCAAAGAAATGGACCCTTCTGATCCCTGGGACGTCTCCCAGGGTGGCAGGGGAGAAGTCCGAGTTCGTCAACTCCTTCTCAAGCTGCCTCAGAATACTAAATGACAGAACTGCCTCAGAATACTCAGAATACTAAATGACTATGCCTAGGATCATATAGTCTTACAGACGCTGCGCGGAACAAAGAACAGATAACCAACAGGACAACAAGACAGTCAGTTTGAGCTGGCCAGCTTACCTCCCAGTGATGTCGGGTGTCCTCCGGATAGGGACCGGGATCGGAACCGGAACCGGGATCTTGGATCTCGGTGGGACCTCCACAATGAAATATCCACAGATCCCAAACCCGGAATGAACCACACGAGACACTGGCTGCAAAAAGCAGGAGGCGTTTATTCTCACACAGGCGCCTGCGGGTGCACAGCAAAACCTCAGCCGGAGCTTCGGTGAACTGGCACACCGGGCTTTGGGGTATAGATCTTTTTATAGGGAACAGGTGGGTTAGGTCTTAGCTTAGCACAGCAACAGCCTTCCTATTGGTCCCTCTGAATTCAGCAGTTGAGTCACCTAGGGGGGTAAACTTGTTTTCCCACTTTAGTTCTCAGAAAAAACATAAAATTGCATCCTGTCCTTTTAGTTCCTGTTTTTACCCTGTTTGCTCAAGTTTGGCCCTTCTGGGGTTATCTATATGGAACATCTTGTGGTAACATTGTGCGAGACTTGAAGTGCTACGTGCAGCTGGTGGGGTTTTGACATGGGGGTTGGGTAAGGGAACATCTTGCAGCTTCAGGGCACAGGGGTTAGTTTTCCTAATGTTGGGCCTGGGGCCTTGGGGTCCTTCACTGTGATTTGTTTGCTGGGCTTGGATGTTGGATCTAGAAAGCAGTTTGTGTGTCATTTCCTTCACTACTCATGGGGGCTGCATGTGGCCATGAAGGCTGGGAGGCTTACCATGTGGAATGGCCATGTTCCACGTTGAGACTGCTCAGAGAAGGTTGTGTGAGGTTCTTTCTGTCAGTGGTTCTTCAGCTGCAAATCTCACCCATCAGTTGGAGCTAAAGAATATAAACCTTAGGAGTTACATAACACAAAATTTCTTCTAAAAGCACGTTCAAAACTTAAAAGTACAGTTGTACTTGACAGACTTAATTATTACAAATTCAGACTTGGACTCCATTGTTTCAAATGCTGATTCTGTCCCCAGGGTGAATCAGTAGGTCCTACTTTGTAGATCTCTGACATCAATTTGTGGATACGAAGTTAGCATCCCCTTACCAAGGAAGGTGATGACTGTCAAGTTTACTTTGGAGGGATGAATTTTATGAAATCTTAATTTATAAAGTTCACTGAAAAATTCAACTCTCTGCCTTCCAAATACAAATCTCATTATCATATATATAACTGATAGTCTCAATTCAGAATTAGGTAATTTGATTTGGAGACAAAGAGATATGAATTTCTTGACGTCCTATTGGCTTGGCTCTTTCTTTTCTTTCTTTCTTCATTTTTTTTTCCACAAAGAAAGAAAGAAAGAGATAGTATCTATCAGAACAGTGGTTCAGAACGAGGCTCTGGTGCCAAATAGAGGGACACAAATTTGAGTCCCGGCCTTGCAATCTATCAGCTATCTGACTTAGGGCAAATAATTAAATATTTTTAGGACTTTTTAAAAACTTTTACCAAGTGGGGCTACTGATATGATAAAGTAAGGGTAAGGATGAGATGATGCAAATAATGTGAACTATGAGGCAGAGAGCTTGGTCCAAATGTTTATTCTTTTCCTCATCCCTTTGCCTTTTGCCCTCATTGTGGGGGTGGGGGTAGGTGGGGTTGAGGTTTACAGAACTTGGGGATAAGAGTGATGGGTGGTAACAGGGGGTAAATATCTATATCTATATTTATCTATCTCTCTATATATGTAGTTTTGGTACTGTGGATTGAATTCAGGGGCACTCAATCACTGAGCCACGTCCCTAGCCCTGTTTTGTATTTTATTTAGAGACAGGGTCTCACTCGAGTTGCTTAGCACCTTGGCTTTGCTGAGGCTGGCTTTGAACTCACGATCTTCCTGCCTCAGTCTTCCAAGCCACTGGGATACAGGCCTGTGCCACCACTCCCAGCTAAATATATTTTATACAAATTTTTATTTAACTTTCAGAGACAGATACACTCCACCTTCTTTCTCTACTTGTTCAAGCCAGACTTGTCTATAGAACTAAATCAAGTGTGGATCTGCCATCTCTCTCCATGGTGCAGCCACCTGGGAGGATCCTGGCTCTACTGTCTTGCCCACTGGTTAGATGTAGGAGTAAGTAGACGTCAGCAGAACTGTAACATAAAGCTTTCTCTGAGACTCTGAGTGTGATCATTATGCCTCTCCTCCTCTTCTCTTACTGGTCCAGTATTCTCTACTTGCTTCCCAACTCTTCTTTTCATTTTCATCTCTTAGCAATTTTGGATCAGAGAGGATTCTAAGTAAACTTTAGATCTTGCCCTTTTATGCTGGAATCAAGGGAAAATAGAATTCCAATTTGGATATTGTTGAAAAAAGTGTGGGTTATCTAATATTTACTTTGACAAAATTGATTTTTTTGGTATGTTTTCAGTTATAGCATTGTTTGAGTGGAAAATGATATTATTTTATCTTGACCACATTTAATTTTTTTTTTTTTTTTACTCATGAAAGTTTTCTAATTGGCTCTTCTGGATCACAACATGAGTGAATTTTAATTGCATAAGACTGATAACTCCAGGTTTGAAGTTCTGAATAGGTTTCATATTACTTATTTCTTGAATAATTATGGGATATATTACAGTGTTTGTTTTCTAAACTGATGTTGCAAGATGAAACAATTAGCTGGAACATTTTTTTTCACTAACTGAAGAAGGGCAGTAATGGTTAGTAATTAATTATGATGATGAGACACCATTTAAGACTCCTTTAATTGAGGTACTCCAATTTCTTATCTCAGTTTGAAAATGTAAAAATGATGAGACATTTAGTACTTATTTTTTGTCGGGTCAATATGTTTATAAATGTTGCTGCCATAACTAAGTACCACAAATGGAGTGGCTTAAAACAACACATTTATTATCTTATATTCTGGAGGTCAGAAGTCTAAAATGAATTCTCAGGCCTTTCTGATGTCTCAAGGCTGTCTGCATTCCTTGTCTCTGGCCTTCTTCCTCTGTCTTCAAGTGCGGCCTTGCAGTGTACTTTTTCCTGTTCTGATCTCTGCATCAGCTTCTTCTCTCATTGTCTTCTGCCTCTCTTTTGGGGTTACAATTTCAGCTAGGAAATCCAGGAGAATTTCCCGGTCTTAGGATCCCGAACTTGGTCACACTAGCCCATGCCTTTTTACCACATGAAGTAGCACATTCACAGGTTTGGGAGTTAGGACATGCACATCTTTGATAAACTATTCTTCAGCTTACCATGGCTATTATCAGAATTCTGAACTCCTTGTGGTAAAGAGGGGAAGAACAAGTTAGTTAAAGCTTCTAGAAATCAAGGTCATAAAAGGCAATCAGACATTGAAAAATGGCCATGATGTGAACTGACAGATGAATAACAACAATAAATAACATGTCACAATGCAGCAGCAAATGTTTCAGATGTATAACAAGATGGGCACCCAGATATATATTTTTCCTATAGCTTACCAACAGCATAAAAAAGGAATAGGTAATAGAGTGAGAGATGGATGGGGTCAAGAAAGATCTGTCAAGAAGGTGATGAGTAAGAGAGTGAATTGCCATTACTGTGAGAAGAACAGAGTGACACTTTCCCATTCCCAATTTTCACTGGTGATCATATGGTTGACCTCAATGAGACAAAGAGAACTTAGCTATTATTGGAAGAAATATAGCATTGGGATTAATTTATTTTCTTAGGCAAATACTCTTTTTTGTTTTCTGAACTGGATATGTAAAAAAAAAAAAACTTGTTTGCTATTTAAATATGCTATTTAAGTATGCTATGATGTGAACTGACAGATGAATAACAGCAATAAATAACATGTCACAATGTTATTTACAATAAATAACATGTCACAAATAGCTATTTAAATAGCTATTTAAATGTGCTATTTAACTGTACCTAATATCAGAAAGCTATGATTTTTTCCCATAGCTAATAAACCAGAAAGACGAGTTTCTTGCTTCTTTTTCTTCTCTGTCCTCACTCCTTCCCTATGTTAGTCAGCTTGTCATTGTTGTGGCCAAAATACCTGACAAGAACCACTTAGAGAAAGAAAAGATTACTTTGGGTTCACTTCCAGGTTCAGAGCTTTAGTCCATTGTCTGTTGACTCTATCACTCTGGGCCTGAGGTGAGGCAGAATATCATAGTAGAGAAGAGCAGTCAGCTCATGGTAGCCTGGAAGAGGAGGAAGAAAGAGAGAGAGAGAGAGAGAGAGAGAGAGAGAGAGAGAGAGAGAGAGAGAGAGAGATTGAATGGGGCAGGGAAGAGGGGGTGAGGAGAGAAGAAAAGAGGAGACAGGGATAAAATATAATTCCTAAGAGCACACCCACATGACCTACTTCCTCCAGCCATGCCATATCCCATGTGCCTGCAGTATCACCCAGTAATCCATTCAAATAACTCATTCCATCCAATGGATTAATCCACGGATAAAGTTGTAACTCTCATAATTATTTCACCTCTGAACATTCCAACTAACTCATGACTTTTTTGGGGACACCTTGGATCCAACCCCTAACATTTCCACCTTTTATAGAAGAGTATACTCTCTCTATATATGCTACTGACTTTAGTTTAGGTCTTTGTTTCCTGTCCCTTCCACTGTTCTGTTAGCTTAACCTGTCTCTAGACATTTATTCTCCCTTTGTCATCCACTTATTATTATGTGGTTGTATTAGCTGTTTGTGACACTCCAGGCTTAAAAACCTTTAATTTATTTCTGGAGAATACATTTTATACCCTTTGGCTTGACATTCAAACTCCTTTACTTTTGAGTGGTCTGGTCTAAACAAGTAGTGTGGGTGCTGCAGAAAGAGGTGAGGAGTTGTTAGACCTTGGCTCCTGCCCAACACCAATGCTCACAGAATTGTGAACTTGGGCAAAGCAATTAACTTCCATAAGCTGTAGCTACTTCATCTTTAGATTGGAGAGTATCATAATGCCTGGATTAAAAGGTTAGAGAATTGTATTTTTAAAACAATGAATATGAAATCACTTTAAGCAGAAAGAAAAATGTTATCATTATTCTTATTTGTTATAATCCTTCCCGTGTTTTCCTCCACTGAATTTCCCTATGCACAGTCTATTCTGAAGTATTTCATATTCTTCAGAAACAGCACACATTCCCCCATTTGCCTTTGGGGGAATTAATTTCCTATTACTATTGTAACAAATAACTGCCAATTTAGTGTCTTAAAATAACACTAATTTGCCCTCTTTTAATTCTAGAGGTCAAATGTCTGAAATGGGTCTGAAATCAAGGTGTTGGTGGAGCTTTTTCCCCTCTGAAGCCTCTAGGGAAGTCTGTTTCCCTGTTTTTCCAGATTCTCAAAGCTGCCCACATCCCTGCAATTGTGTCACTCTGACCTCTGCTTTTTTGTTTACATCTCCTCTGACTCACACTCCTGCCTTGCTCCTGTGAGGACTTATGATGAATATTTAGGGCCCACTTTCCCCTTCTCAAACTTCTTATCCTCCTTTGCAAATTCTCTTTTGCCCACTAAGTTAACTTAGTAGATAACCGTAGGTTCTGGGGATTAGAATGTGGATAGTTTGGGGGACCCGTTTCCTGTCTTAGTCTCTCTTTCTGCCTTGGGCTGTGCTCCCCCTGACAAGCACACATGTGCATAGTCCATTC